CCCCCATTATTATAGAGTTCTTTATTTTGGTAGCCTCTCTAATCTCCCTCAGCATTTCAATGTCAGTATCGCTGTCCTGGTCAGGTGGTCGATAATATATCCATACTGATAAATTCTTATTATTGGAACATGGAATTACTATCCATAGCGATTCTATTGAACATGTTGATTCATTTAAGATTTTTATTTCATTTGATTCTATATTATCATTTAGAAAAGGACAACAACTATGTGAGGGCAACCCTTGCAGGTAATTAGAAGAAAGGGAGCAAAACAAAGAGAATCCCAGTCCATTTGTGTGACACTCCCCAGGAGTTCTCAGGGTTATGAGGCACCTTACCATCACCTGCTTTTAATATGAGAAAGTCTTGTTTGTGCTTGCTATAGGTCAGTTCCCTGAAACCACCAAGCTCTGGCAACACAAACACTACTATCTAGGCCTCCTCAGGCCTCAGTCTCTTTGTCCTCTCTTTCTGACTACAGCTTAGAGAATCTCTATCAACGGATTCTCCTCTAAGAGAAGTCTCCATCTGATTTATGTGCTTTTCCGCACCAATTGGCTTTCCCCCATCTCTTAGTTTAAAAACTGCTCTACGGCCTTTTAATGTTTAGTGCCAGCAGTCTGGTTCCACACTGGATTAGGTGGAGCCCATTCTTCCTGTATAGGCTCCCCCTCTCCCAAAAGTATCCCCAGTTCCTAATACCTTAACTTGACCTTTGGTGCTGTCCACACAGCAGGAAGTCAAAAGGAGAACACTTTCCCTTCCACTTCCCTTACTCCTCATGGAAGCAAAACTACTGGCATAGTCTGGAGTGTCCCTCTCAGTTCAAATTAGCATGTCTTCACTAGACCTGCTAATTTGAATCCTGGAAGATCGACAGTGGTAGTGTAGACCTAGTAATTTGAATCCTGGAAGATCGACTGTGGTAGCTCAAGCTTCTCTATAGTGTAGTCCTATCCTTAGTGCAGGTGAGGCAATTTCAAAAGCCAGATGAAGACAAAAATTGATTGCTTTCCATACCTTAAATAGACACCTACCCTGCCCCCACCATGGGAACCCTTTGTTCAGTATCTCCAATTAATTTCAAAAGCCAGATGAAGACAAAAATTGATTGCTTTCCATACCTTAAATAGACACCTACCCTGCCCCCACCATGGGAACCCTTTGTTCAGTATCTCCAACTCCATGGAAAAATACTAGATTCAAGATGGATTCCAGGACCAGGTAACACTCCATGGAAAAATACTAGATTCAAGATGGATTCCAGTACCAGGTAACATGGGTTTTGTAGGACCAACTACAGTTTGGGATTTCAGGAAGAATAAAACCATTCACAGATGGTTGGTTTGACTACTGAGGCATTAAGATCCTAAAGCATCCCTAATGGCCCTTATTAGTACATTTAGACTTAAAACCAAATTCACACTTCATATTTCCAACTCCACATACAAGAATGATACATGCACCAAAACAGGATATACAGATTCAGCAGATTGTATCTTTAAAATTGACATATTACACCATGCCTTTTGCAACAAGCATCTTCTCGTTGTGCATTCATATTTGCATGCCGCATTTCATGAAGCAAGGGTGTGTGTGTGTGCGTGTGTGTGTGTGTGAGACACTAGCCATACACAAACAGGTGGGGCTTTGGTGAAGTGGTGCAGCCAGGTGGAGCTAGCTGGCTAGTTCGGAGGGGCTGGGAGTGGGGGGATTAGATGGAAGCTCACTTGCAACTGAGGCTTGAGCTCCTAACCCAGTGGGGATGCAGCAGGTGGAGTTAAGCTCCCCAAGGGCCTACCAGTAGCTGGAGCAGTTGCCTAGTGGGGTGGCAGTGGCTGGACAGCGTGCCTATTGGAGCTCCCTATCCTAGAGGTGTGGGGTGGCAATTGCCCTCAGTAGGTCCCCTAGTCCTGTCCCCTGCCCTGCAGGCAGGATTCAGAAATGACTAGAGGGGTCATAGTGTAACCCACACATCTAGTGTGAATTTTAAAACAACAAAGGGTCTGGTTGCACTTTATAGACTAACAAAACATGTGACGGGATCATGAGCGTTTGCGGGCACAGCCCACTTCTTCAGATGACTGGGGGTTAGAGTTTGTGGTTCACTGTCCCATGTAGTGGCACTTACACCACGTACACAACCGATACGTGCAAGGCTCCTCTACAGCTTGGGCTGAGCGCGGTTGACCCGGTGGCGGCACCTACCCTAAGCTCCAGACTCGAAGCTCTGAGGTCCCAGATTCAAATCCACCTGGGGGTGCTTCCCAGGCCCAGCCAACTCCTGCACCTCTGCCTTGCCCAGCCTCCTGCTTCTTGGGCGCTCACCCTGCAAGGGGGCATGTCCTGGCTCCTTCCCTGGGCAGGGGCGGCCTTTGACAGCTGCCCCAAAGTTCAGCGGCCGCGTGGGCTGCGCTCCAGCGAAAGGGGCGGCTGGGGACCCTTGCCGGAGGGGTCGGGCAAGGCGCGGGCGAGTTCCCCACTCAGCTCCGCCCCCCGCGCCGGCTCCCGGCGGAGCTGTCCAGC